AGGACAATTAAAGTGTTAATTTGCCCTTCAAAAACATTTTTTTGTAGTTTACAAGTGCATATAATCCATATTTAGAATAATTAAGGTTGTATATGGTGTCCCTGGGGTACCTTGTGGTATCCCTGGGGTTCCTTGTGGTTCCTTGTTGTATCCTTGTGGTACCTTGTGGTTCCTTGTGGTAAAAAGACGTCTTTTTACCACAAGGAACCACAAGGAACCACAAGGATACCACAAGGAACCACAAGGATACCACAGGGAACCCCTAGGTCACCATATACAACCTTAATTATTCTAAATATGGTTTATATGCACTTGTAAACTACATTCTGTTGAAAACAGAGATTTTTTAAATTTAATTGTTACAAAGATTTATAAAAAGAAACAAAAACTTGTGTAATCATGATGCAACATTTTTAATAAGGTTACTGCATGACTTTTAGATTTGTAGGGACTATATCTACCACATTTTTTAAAAACATAGGCAATCACAGATTACAGAGCTCACCTCAATGAATGTTGTCTTTAAGTAAGGCAAAGTCCCACACTAAACTAATAATCTAGGACTGTGCATCCCTAGATACAACATTTATGCAATTTTGGTCTGATAGGGCTTGCATTTACTTGGGAATAGACTTATCTGAAAACTTAAAACTAGTCACTCATCCAGAAAATGTAAGTCAAATCCAGCATCCGAAGCAAGTTTTGAGATTGTTCGTCCCTTGATGCATCATCCATGCAAGTTTGGTTCAGATAGGCCTTATAGTTACTTGGAAATGAGATCTGCTCCAAAAACTTTAATCTGGTTACTCATCTGGAAAATGTAGGTCAGATTGATCCAGCATCCCAAGCAAGTCCAATAGTGTGAATCCTTAGATGTATCATCCATGCAAGTTTGGTCAATATAGGGTTTATAGATACTTGGAAATGACATCTGCTCCAAAAACTTTAACCCAGTTACTCATCCAGAAAATATAGGTCAGATCCAGCATCCGAAGCAAGTCCAGTAGTGTGCATCCTTAAATGTATCATCCATGCAAGTTTGGTCAATATAGGGCTTTTAGTCACTTGGAAATGAGATCTGCTCCAAAAACTTTAACCTGGTTACTCATCCAGAAAATATAGGTCAGATCCAGCATCCGAAGCAAGTCCAGTAGTGTACATCCTTAGATGTATCATCCATGCAAGTTTGGTCAATATAGGGTTTATAGATACTTGGAAATGGCATCTGCAGTGCTCCAAAAACTTTAACCCGGTCACTCATCTGGAAAATATAGGTCAGATTCAGCATCCAAAGCAAGTCCAGTAGTGTGCATCCTTAAATGTATCATCCATGCAAGTTTGGTCAATATAGGGCTTATAGTTACTTGGAAATGAGATCTACTCCAAGAACCTTAACCTAGTCACTCATCCGGAAAATGTAGGTCAGATCCAGCATCCGAAGCAAGTTCAGTAGTGTGCATTCTTAGATGTATCATCCATGCAAGTTTGGTCAATATAGGGTTTATAGTTACTTGGAAATGAGACCTGCTCCAAAAACTTTAACCTGCTCCAAAAACTTTAACCAGCTCCAAAACATTAACCTGGTCATTCTTTAGCTGAAATTGCAGCATCTGAAACCTTGACTGGTACAATGAAACACACTAGAATCATCGTCTCTGACTAATATAGGCCATAGAAGTACTTGAAAAGAAAACTGCTCCAAAAACCTTAACCTGGGACGTCGACGGTATTACATAAGCTCCTCCAACCTCGTTGAGGTGAGCTAAAATATGTCACAGGTGGTGAAAAATCAAGTCTCAACCGGGACTTGAACCCAGGGCCTCTGGCATACCGTGCCAGCACTCTAACCACTGAGCTACTGAGACCCGATATATTGACTGACTCTCACGCACCTGTGAACCCCGTGACATATTCCCCCTCTTTGTAGAAATATGTCCTCGAATTCTAGGAGTTAAGGAAATGCGTGAAGCATGTTCCAAGGGAATAGTGGGTATTTGTACGTTTGGCGCCAAATGTCACAGGTGGTGAAAAATCAAGTCTCAACCGGGACTCAAACCCAGGGCCTCTGGCATACCGTGCCAGCGCTCTAACCACCGAGCTACTGAGACCCAATATATTGACTGACTCTCACGCACCTGTGAACCCCGTGACAAATACTTGATAAAATTTTTTTTTTTTTTAATTTAAATGTCAAACTGGTTTTAAGCTGCAGTGCATACGGACAAATGGACATGCTGATTCCAATATCCCCCCCCCCCCCCCCCCCCGTTATAATAAGTTTTAATTATATTATACAATATCAAATTAGTTTATTTTACAATTTCATACAATATCAAATTAGTTTTAATTACTTTTCACCAAATTCATTTTAAAAGTTTGGCTAGCCAACAAAATCTATTTGATTCTTTTGCCCAATTCCCAAGAGATATAGATAACACCTGCTTGATCAGAGATGCTCTACCAGTTAGCTCCTCACACTAAAACTCATTAATTTCTCTCTAATTTGACATGCAATTTTCTGTTATCAAAATTCTCCTTGACCAGTGCTTGATAATTACACCCATGGGAGAGGTGGAATTTCTCTTATAACATTACATTTGTTATAGATTGCTGTAAAGTATATAATGAAAATAATAAATATTTTCTTGATTTAACACTTTTTAATAAGGATACTGCAACATTCTTACATTTTTGAGATTGTGTAATTCAATAGTATAGAGACACAGTTTTTTTTTTTAAATTTCACTTTAATTAAAGGTCACAGTGACCTTGAAATAGGTCGCGACACACCTTCTACCTAAGATGCATTAATTGGTCAAGTTTGATGATTCTAAGTCTAATAGTTTTCTAGTTATGAGCCGGACAGGATTTTTCCATATTTGGCCATAGCATCTTAATTAAAGGTCAGAGCGCCTACTTTTAATGTGCAACACACCTTCTACCCAAGATGTATCAGCTGACAAAGTTTGATAATTCTAGGCCTAATAGTACTAAAGTTATGAGCCGGACACGAAAAAGCTAACAGACGGACGGACGGACATGAACGCCATAACGTAATATGTCCCATCTTAAGACGGGCGTATAAAAATCTTTGATGAATGCATAGGATAACATAACTGGACATAAACCCTGCTCATTAACCAAGCAAAAAAATAAAATATGGAATTGCTGATTGACAGGTCCATTCTTACAGTCTTACTCTATCTCCATGTACATTTTCTTTGAAATATCTTTTCAAAGAAGCCTTTGACAGCACTTTTAAGATGTTCTCATGTGGACTTAAAACGTGACTTTTCAGTATGCTAAACATTCGAGATTCTGACATAATTTTTGGAGTTATTACGTCATAAATATAAGAAAGTGACGCTAAGATATAAGTGCAAATTTTCCAGCTCTTTTCAATGATATCAAACTTATTAACTTTCGTGAAATGGGTAATATTTTAGCAAGCAGTTCTCAGAACTTTTCAAATGCCCCTCGTACAGTATGTAAATATGCACCTTTGAAAATAGCAACATTACTTATTTCAGGATCTTAACTAATGAATATGTTTTTGGACAATGAAAAAACTTAAATTTTACAAAGATGTTAACTTTGTTTTATCTATTTCATTTTCAACATAGGGTATAGAGATTTGCCCCAAGAAAAAAAGTATAACTGATGAACAGAAATCAATGATGTTTACCAAAGTGATGGAAACACATGCAAATAAAGGGTTCTTTTAATTTATCTAGGCCTAAAAAATTTCAAAAATGCTTGAATTTATAGAAAAAAAAGAATTAAGCAATGTAGACTTAAATCTACTTTGTTTATGTTGTAGGGGAAGATCACTCTAACTAATTCATAAAATACCAAAGAAATTAGAACTCTCTAGTATGCAAATCTGCAAAATTACTATTGTTGTACCATAGGACTGGCGGTAAATTTAGATTTTGCTTTCATGTTGCTGTGGTGTATTTGCCAGAAGAATCACAGTTTTTTTTAAGTCACGCCCACCTTTTGGCATCAAGCCATACTGTGTCAAGACCTTGACTAATGAATGAATGATGTCAATTTCAAGACCAAGGCAATGGCTGATGAATGAATTAAGTCAACATTTTAAATTTCAAAAATACTAACATTATTTAGCTTGTCGGTGTCCGCTTCATAAATGGTTCTGTATGTTTTCTCCGCGTATCCTTAATCAGTAAATGATACGTCCCATCTCGAATTCTCGTCATTTTCTTTCCCGTCTCCAAATACATATAGCAATTTCACATCAGAAGTCCCCGCATTTTTTTTTACTTCCAATACCATTTCAAGCTTTCATTAAAATGTCACAAATCATTTCATTTTTTTTCTGTTCGCCGATTGCCATAAAGAAAAAGTTCAATGCCGATGTTTCCCATATCCATCCCCCCTTTAAAAAAAAGAAAAAAACGATCTAGAAAGATAACTTTTCTTTCAGAGTTGACGGCTTGAACATAAAAGCCTGCAATCGCTACCCCTATACCTGTACCTGACAAAAATCATGTTTTCTGCGTCTTCAACATTTCAAAGGTACAATATCTTCACACGTACCAATTCCGATTTTTTTATCAACAACTTGTAGTAGCAGTGCCGCAGTAAAGTATGATCCTTGCAGATGGAGACAGCTATTTATACAGACTTCGGACCGTGTCTTGACACCTCGTAGTAGGCGGTGCTATTTATCAACTCGCTTTTCTCTCATTGGTCCTCTGGTACAAGTAACTTACACAATAGATATTAATTGGTTAGCTGTAAATACACTCACAGTTTTTATTCACTCGGGGCTCCGCCCCTCGTGAATGAAAAACTGTGAGTGTATTTACAGCTAACCAATTAATATCTATAGTGTAACTATAACTTGTTTCTGCTTATGATTTTACAACCTCTTTGTGAGAAATAAAACTTAATATTATATATACAATAAACTCATATATCGTTTACATTAATGTAGCATATACATTGTTACATTATATTTATAACTTATAACCTACCTACGTCCCTGACGTTAATGTAGTATGTATTGTTATATTTGGCATCAGTCTTAGGAACAGCTTCACACCCTCCAGCATAGGTCACATTACATTTGATGAGGTAGCATGTATTACTATGAAATAAAGCCGAGTCGCAGTCATCAGGCTCCCGACAACAGCTCACAACACAAAGCCAGCGATTGGTTGATTTAGCATCCTTCACGTACTTCCCCGCTGCAGCCCCGCCTTTTGGGAGAGAACTTTTGTGGATCCGGCTCTTCAGAAAACTGGATTCAACTTCTTTTCCACAAAGGTCTGCACCAAATGATTCTAAAATCAAAAGAACAAATTCATCATTCTTAATCATGTTTGCATAACAACAGTACGACGCCTGTGGAAGCAAATTCCTTTGATGAAAATTTAAAATTCTGATTCATTTTGAAATCATTTTAATTCATGGAGGCAATGCTCATAGGCAAACCAAGTTTTACTGGTTCATGTCAACATAATTTTGTGGGTAACTTGCATTTTGCAAATGCGTAACTCAAAAGTCAGATTATGCATTTGGAGCAAATTTGAGGTCTGTCAAATGCATCAACTCTGCAAATTTATTCCACATTGGATTCATAGTTCCTATGTAAAACTTTGATTGCCCATTGTGGCCCTACCCTAGCCCTGGGAATCAGGAGTAGAACAAACTTGAATCTGCATTCTATAATGACTTTTTCACATAATTTTCACCTTTTCTGGCCCAGTGGTTATTGAAGAAGATTTTTAAAAGATACCATTAAATTTTCACTATTTATTAATTATCTCCCTTGAAAGAGGGTGTCCCTCTATTTGAATGAAATAAAATCCCCTTCACCCAAGGATGCTTTGTGGCAAGTATTAAAATTGGCCCAGTGGTTCTTAAGAAGTAAAAAATGTGAAAAGTTTACAGACAACATACGACAGATGACACACAAATCAGATGAACACCGGGCGCTCTTCAATCAGAAAAGCTAACTTCAGCCTTTGGTTCAGGTGAGCTAATAAAACAGAATAAACTGACAGATGAAGCTATGTTGCCAAAGAGCAAGAGGATGATTAGGGATCAACAAAATAATTAGTCTAGTACTCAGTAACAAATCTTAAAGTAGATCTATCTACTTGCATGTACCTATCCCAATTTATCACTATAATAAAATACCATGCAAATAAAACAAAACAATAGTACTTAACCACTGTTAGTGAACAAATCTTATTCCCACTCAAGTTGGCTTCCCTTGGTCTTTGAAGAACATTTAATGGTCAAAGAAAAGGAATCTCATTTTTATTTATTATTTACAAGGCTACATGACCATTAAAAACAATGAAAGTACTTTTTGTGTCTTATGTATTATAAAAATCCTTATGTAGTGTATTATTTTCTTATTCAATTGACCTTTCATTTATTTTATTTACAGTGATTAATTATCATAGGTGAATACCAAAGGGGAATAACTTCTCTCAGAAGAATACAAATTAATAGAGCCCTGCCAAACACCAGAACACTTGACCAAGTGGTCCATTAATTTACAAAATTAATATGGTAAAGTACCCTTGCTTGTTACAACTTTGTACTCTGTTTGCTACCTAGATGCCGAGGAGCAGAGCAGCAATTTTCAAGGAAAGAATGCATTTTTACTACAGATTCAACACATCCGCATCCTAACAACAGATCCCTAACAGAGCCTGGGCCATGAAATTCACAATTTTGGAAGAGGCACACTTGCTCATATATAGTTTACCAGGGGGACAGAAGTGGATTTTGAAGAAATAATGCATTTTCATTGTATGGTGGTTACAGCTCCAGAACCCCTGACCCTGAGGCAATAAATTTCAAAATTTTGGTAGAAGGCTCAAAGCTAATTGCAATCATGCAAATAGTTTGATGGCTTGATGTCCAGGAGTAAGTAGTAGATTTTGTGAGATTGCATTAATTTTGATGGTTTAAGTCCCACCCCTAGGCCCCAGGAGAATAGGAACCATGAAAATCAAAAATTTGTTTCCCTTCACTCATAGATGCTCTGTGTCAAAATTGGTTGATATTGGTTCCCCAGTTCCAGAGAAGAAGCTGAAAATGTTAATGCAGGATGAACAAGACAGACAAAACCAGATAGAAATAGGTCACCTGAATGTCTCAGGTGACCTCAAAATATCTTCAATAATTACTTTGAAACTGAGCTAAACACAAAACAAGGAATAATGAATTCAGGTCATAGTTAAGGTCAAGGTCAGATAGTTATGCCACAGTTGAATAACTTTCACCAATATGTATCTGTGTACCCTGTATGTAATTTGATTAATATTTATCTTATATCTATCTTATCTAGCTAAACACAAAGTGTGATGAACAAACAGACAGAAGGATGGAAGATGGACATGAGAAACACTATACCCCCCCCCCCCTTTCATGTGAAGCATAAAAATGTCCAACATGGGAAGATCTATGTAGATAATGCAAAGTTAAAGTGTAGTATCTTGTTCATCAACAATAATCAACTTGCCTCTTTTGAATTTTTATTTTACTCTAAACTACAGAAAATATGAAAAAAAAATTATTTCAGATACATGTATAAACCTCTTAATGATTTACAAGTTTTATATAATGTAGTGTGTTCAGTTGAAAGATAGAATGTTAGATCAATAGGAACAATTTAATTAATCCATATTGACATGACAAATGTTAAAAAGCTTCAGTCAGCTTTCTATCAGTCAAGTCCATGAATCAGGGTTACATAGAGGCTAGGAGACACCATATGGCAGCAATCGACTCCTTACACAAAACAATTGACATACCCTAGGCATAGTGTTAATCTGATCACCATCATAAACCCTGTAAAAAGCCTTGCACACCAGAAACTCCTACTGATGCCTATCATGCTCAGTTCAACACTTGAATGGTTTGCTTCACACAGAAATTTTATTTTTCATTTCTTTACCTGAAGGTATATTTAAAGTTCTGCCTGATGATTTTATTCTATACATGATCACATGAAATAACATTTGCATGGGATCATTCATTTTGCTGAAATACCAATATAACAATAAACATCAATAACAAGTCCACTGTAGCCAAGTATCTGCAGAAAACTAAATATATGTCCATAGGACATGAATGCTCCACCCTAGGAACATGAACAGAAATATATCTTCCTTTTTTGGTCGACCATTGAAACATTTAAGCCATTATTTAACAGCTAAATAAAGTATTTATTATTTCAAGTTTATTCCCTCATATTTATCAAAATGTAAGATCTCCTGTATATAGTAAAAATGCTCTTACAGAGATTTTTCAATGAATGGAGATATCTTAAATCTTTCATGGAATATTATATAAGATGAAATTAGAGCAAACTGAAGGTAAAAAAGTAAAATTCAAGGTCATGGGGAAAATCAAGGTCAAAACTATATGTGTCAGGATCACGTTTCTAATGCCCTGTTCACATGGAGAGTTTAATTCAAATGAAATGTAAGTTATTGCGAATTAAAGTTGATCTGCGTTCACACGGAGAATTTAATGCGAATTAGTTTAATTCGAATTAGTTTACTGTGCATTAAATTACTTCGCATTAGCTCCATGTGTACGCTAAGCCAAGCTAATTAGAATTAAATTTTGATGCATGCGTAAGGGCAGAATTATGTCACAGGCCACGTGTCGATGGTCAAATATAAGTACTTCTACTATTTTTGAGTGGAAAACAAAGGAAAATTATGTTAATCACTAAAATGCGTACAGACACTTTGACATTATGTCAAATGTATATCTGCTCTGCACAATAAGACGTGATTTGAAATGATGTCACAATAGCCTCACTGAATAGCCTTGTTGTAGAAATAAAATTATAATTCGCATTAGTTTACTTTGCATGAGCTGTCGTGTGAATGCAATTTAATTCACATTAGTTTAATTCGCATTATTTTACTTCGCATTAATTTACTACGAATTAAACTCTCCGTGTGAACAGGGCATAAATTTCTAATTATTCACCGTTTTTTGTGTTTTTTTTAGCTCACCTGAGCCTTCAGCTCAGGTGAGCTTTTCTGATCAGAATTTGTCCATTGTCTGTCGTTGTTGTTGTTTTCATCATCGTTGTAAACATTTTACAATTTCATTTTCTCCTCCAGAACTACAGGGCCAATTTCAATCTCAGAATTCTTGGATAATGCACTTTATTTTTAATGTCAATGTACAGATGTTGTAAATGGGTACTGACTAGTCTCCTTCAAGGAGCTCAAGACTCTCATTCAAAATATTCTAATTAACTTGGTAAGCATTGATCACAGGGAAACTTGATGTGAAAAAGAATAATTGAAAATAAAAATTCTAATACTGTGTCAACTATCATAATTCTGAAATACATATAGAAATATGTAAAGCTTGAATTGTGGAATGATGTTTTTTGTCAGTTATTCAATAAGCCTGTACTTTGTATAAAAATTAACATTATTTTTGACAAAATACTAATCATGCTAATTTCAACAGTATTTCCATGTCAGGAGGTATTAAGACTTATGGAGTGTCAGCAGATCTTAAGGAACGGGTCAATTAACAGTCACCAGAGATTATAACTATTTCATCACCTGATCTTAAAGAATGGTCAATTAACAGTCACCAAAGATTATACCCATTTCATCACCTGATCTAAAGGAATGGTCAATTTACTAAGTCACCAGAGATTATAACCATTTCATCACCTGATCTAAACGATACATACAACAAACAAATATTCTTATCTTCTGCATAAAAGAGTTACACTAACATTTTTTATGGAATTCGCAGTGTTTTTGTGTACACTGGTTCCTATTTTATAAAACCAGAAAGTGTAGTTAATGTAAACATGTGCAGAACGAAGTCCAGGAAATTTACTAGCAAATCCAAATATAAGCGTTTAAGAAAGGCGTTTGAAGGAAAAAAGAAGCAGCAAGGTATCACAATGATCAATTTTGATGAAAATAATCATATTTATTAGGACAGCATGCAGACTTTAGAGGGGACAACTGTTTCTTGATCTTAATGTTCAATAAATTTCTTTTTTTCTGTTCAAATGATTTTTTCTTGTTTTAATTAGTGTGGAAAGGGTACCCAATTCCTTGTTTTTTTCAAAAGCAGTACTATTGTAAAAGATTCCATAAAAAATATCAACATATTTTAGGATTGTTTATACACTTTTAACATCAATTTTTATCATTTTTTTTCAATACTGATTACATTTGAAAGCCGATAAGAAAATTTTGTTTGTCTTCAATAAAATATTTGACACAGGAGAATGTTCTTCATAATTTTATAATTACAAATTGTTCTAAAG